TCTGAGGGGTTCTTGGCATACATATCCTTACAGTGTCTTAGGAAGTTGCTACTGCAAGATTTGTATTTTAAGATGAACTCTTTGCCCTGTAACAAAAATGATGCATAGCTTTCAACATGAAACCTGCAGCCAAAAAAAAAAAAAAAAAAAAGGTCCCTCTGGTTTCAGATTGTCCCGTAAAGTAGAAATTCTGCCTTGGTCAAAACAAAACTCAGGGGTGTAGAAAGAAGTGGCTAAAACCTCACAGAAAAACACTATTTCCCAAAACTCAAAAGCAGAATTTAGCAGAAACATATGAGCCAGTTTTTAGGCCATTACATTTGCCATTGTGTTGTAAGGGATTAAGCTGCTGGCCTAAGGCAACTTCATGGGCTCCTGAGTGTGTCCCCTCTGCAGCAGGCCTGGCAGGACACTCAGGACCACCCTCATGGGCAGCAGTGGCCAGGTGTCTGTCTGTCCCACAAGGCAGCTGGTCAGTTCTAGGGCTTCCTCAGAGTTCGAATCAGCCCTTAGCTGGTCCACCTAGAAATGAACCAAACTCCAGGCCTTGCTAGATCCTTGCTTCTCAAAATGTGGCCTGTGGCTTCTCTTAGGAACTTGTTAGAAATGTAGACTCTCAGGCCCTGCTCCTCCACCTCAACTTAGTGAATCAGAATCTGCTTTTTAACAAGATCCTTGGGTGATTTCTATGTATATTAAAGTCCTTAACTGATCAGTCCTTAACTGATAAAGTCCTTAGGATACCTAGGATCAGTCAGGGTTTGAGAAAAATCATGAAATAGGAAGTATTTGTCTGGCATATTCTTCCTCAATATTCAAGTGGTTCTCTTGCCCCACTGCTGAGATATCCCTTTTTAATCCTTTCTCCATATCCCAAAATATACATGCACACTCAAACACATATGACTCATTAACCCCTAACTCTCTCTCTATCCCAAATGGAAATCCATTTAATGATGAATAATAGCTGAAGGTGGCAAGGACATTACTTACCCCAGGGGGTATTTGCATTCAACTTTTGTTTTAATATTTAAAAAAAAAATCCCCTCCACCTCAAAACAAAACAAAACAAAACAAAACAAAACAACTCTTTGTATATGCCAAAAAAATTGACCTTACAGTGCTATAATTTTAGACATTCTGATAAGCTAGGCCAGCAGTGAAGCTACTCTGGCCCCTCCTGCTAACCTAGTAGTCTTTAAACTTTAGCAAATGCCTTTAGGCTATGTGATTGATTAACTTTCCTTTGAATATCTAGTTCTTTCATTGTTTCCTAGGAAGAACAGAGCACTCCTATACCTCCTGAAACAGGAAGCAGACCCCCTTGCACAGCCCCCCAGCACTGAGATCACTGAGACAACCTCTCTAGCTGGGACCACCAAGTCTGCACATCATCAAGAAATGTTACAGACTACCGCACTCCCTTACCAACTAACTGTCCTGAACCCCTTTAAAAATCCCTGGGCCAGGCAGAAACCTTGGAGTTGGCTTTTGGACAAGAGTCTGCCTTCTCCCCAGTTGGCCAGCCTGCTGAATAAAGCTCATATTCCTTTCCAGTCAAAACTCCTCTTCTGAGTATTGGCCTATTGAGCGAGGGGCAGCCAAACATGCGGTTTGGTAACAGCAGGGTAGGGTATTTTGGAAAGAACTTTTAAAAAATATATTTATTGTTGAATCACAGGAATCTGTAGGCTCTGGTTACTCAAACAGCTGCCTGATGAGCCACTGATCACCCTATACTGACCCCTCTCCTTTTCTGAGTTTACTAGAATAAGAATCACTGAGCATTTGAACTTCCTGGGAGACTGTGAGGTAGGTGGGGAAGGAAGCATCTCGGAGGACTGTTAGCTTGCAGGCTTCCAACTCTTCTCTGGGAACAAAGGGGAGCAAAAGCTCCACTCCTCTTACTAAATCTCCTTTTTGCTCTGTAATATTCTCAGAATTTCTCTACTTTAGATTTTTCTTCTGTATTTTCATCTCAATATCTGTCAACAATAATGGCTTGATAAAGCAATAACTCTTGCACAGGCATCAGAAGTTTTCCCAGAGTTCATAAAGCACCCAGCAGTACTACCACAAGCAGAAAGAATGTTTGGAAGTAAGTGTTTAAGAACTTACAACAAGTAAGGGAGTATGATCCAGTGATGACATTGCTTTCCAGAGTCTCAACTGCATCTTCTAAGTCATTCCCAAAGATACATGCTAGAATGTGACTAGAATGTAACCTATAATTTTGGGAAACTGAACTCTTCAAGATTTATTGGCTTTAATATTTGATCACAGAGGATAAAAATTCATTTGACAATTTAAAAATAACCATCTGCTCAGAACCTAAAATTATATCAGATCAAGGGCTGTCCTGTAAATTGGAATTATGGTGTGCTTTGGGTATCAGGATCAGTGCCCTTCCTTATTATCCTAAAATTATTCATTATTTTCTGATCTTAAAACTTAGCATAGTTCAAGAGAATGAGAAGACAAGCCACAGACTGGGAGGAAAATATTTGCAAAAGACTCAACTGGTAAAGGACTATTTTTCGAAATATACAAAGAACTCTTAAAATTCAACAGTAAGATAACAACCAGCCTGATTAAAAAATGGGCCAAAGATTTTAACAGACACCTCACTAAAGAAGATAAATTGATGGCAAATAAGCATATGAAAAGATGATTCACATAATATGTCACCGACCAATGCAAATTCAAACAAAAAGAGATACCACTACACAGCTACTAGAATGGCCAAAATCCCTAACACTGACAATATGAAATGCTGGTGAGGATGTGGAGCAACAGGAACTCTCATGCACTGCTGGCAGGAATGCAAAAATGGTGCGGTCACTTTGGAAGACAGTTGGGAGGCTTCTTACAAAACTAAACATACTCTTACCTACAGTCCAGCAATTGTACTCCTTTGTATTCATTCAAAGGAGTTGAAAACTCATGCCCACACAAAAACCTCCACGGGGATGTTCACAGTAGCTTTATTCATAATTGCCCAAACTTGGAGGCAACCGAAATATATTTCAGTAGGTGAACAGATATATAAACTGGTACATGCATAAAATGGAATATTATTCAGTACTATAAAAAATAGGCTATCAAGCCATAAAACAACATGGAGGAAACCTAAACGCATATCAGGAAGTGAAAGAAGCCAATCTGGGAAGGCTACATACCGTATGATTCCAACCATATGACATTCAGAAAAGGCAAAACTCTAAAGACTAAAAAAATCAGTGGTTGCCAGGGGTTGGGGTTGGGGGGTAAAGGATGGATAGGTGGAGCACAAAGGATTTTTAGGGCAGTGAAAATTTAAGGCGGTTTGAAGCCACTGATGGGTACATGTCAATATACGTTTGTCCAAATCCATAGAATACACAATACCAAGTGTTGAATCATAAGGCAAATTGTGGACTTTGGGTGATTATGATGTGTCAGCGTAGGTTCATCAGTTGTAACAAATGGACCATTCCAGTGTGTGAGGCTGATAGTGAGGGAGAATATTCATGTGTATGAGAGGGTGTATAGGAAATCTCTGCACCTTCCTCTTTTGCCGTCAACCTAAAACTGCTCTAAAAATAAATAAATAAAATCTTTAAACCAAGAAAAGCTCAGTTTTAACAGCAGAAAAGATTGGAAATTCAAACATGGTTCTGTGATGGGATTTAGGAATTTAAGGTTGTTTTGTTTTCAGCTCACGTCCTTAGAGTCTGCCAAAGGTACTGGCAAACTATGTGAGAACCAGTTACCTTTACCCTATTCCAAGCCTGTAGCCCTTAACTGTGTCCAGCCTTCTAGAAAGGAAGTGCATTTATTTCTGAGGGAACTAGACAGAATTGAGTATGGATGTTCCAGTGTAAAGCCATGACCATTTCTGAGTGATTAACTCAGAGTTCTCAGTGTTTGTGTGCGTATGGATATACACACACACAGGCAGTATTATAGGCATGATGCCACTGTCCCAGATTCAGAATGGCACCAGCTCCTGAATAGTGGGGATGGATTTACATTGAGACACATAGCCTTCCCATCCAAGGTTCCCAGGAACCAACTGCCTGCATTTGTGAAAGGGCTGGGTAGGACCCAACATGCACGACAGTGGCCTTGAAACAAAGGGAAACTTTCCCTTATAAGCTATCCTGGGTTTTATGAGTATGTCACAGACTACAGAATCTCTGAAAATAGGAAGGCGCTAAAAGACGTTAATGGTCCTGCAGAGTTGTAATAATGGCTAACAAATCTGCTTAAGTATTACTTTGCTGTTAGATATGCATGTTTGATAGTTGTCATTACAAACTTCTATTTTTTATAGGCAATCTGTTGTCGCTGTATTTGTTGAGACATTTGTTCACATCTTTTATGCAGTAAAATCTCTATTATTTGGTCAGGTTTAGAGTAGTGAATATTCTGGTTAATCAAATATTGTGATAAGTAGAATGATCCTGCATATCAATTTTCAAGTCATAAAAATCTTCAATGTGCCAAATTCTGTGCTTCAACCTAGGGGCATGAAAATCATTAGGATACAGTCCTTATCCTCAAGCTATTTATATCTCATACATGGCTTGTCCATTCCTAAGTATTACAATTATAAATGCTATATATAATTGAAGGTTTTTTGTGACTCAGAAGGGATTTTAGGATTTTAAGAACCTCTCTTGATCATCAATATATTAGTGTTAATTTTCATTATATGGTACATTAACAAAAAGTTATTAAATGAAATTGGAAAAAAAAATTGCCATATTCACCAGAAATTCTCAGAAACAGGAATCAGCTACTTTTTGTTTGAAGAAATTCTTTTAAGCAGAGTCCCACTGTTTTGTCAAAAAAGTTTTGATAGTATGAAATTTAATAATTTTGAGTTGTGTAAAGAGTTTTCCGAGATTAAAATACCATGGAAATAATGAGTGGTTCTATTTGTTCTAATTAGAAGTGTTTTGAGCTTATGGCAGTCTTGGCCACCCCTGGTTGACCTTATTAAATAGACAACTCACCCAAGGAAAAAGTGATCTTTTCAGATGAGATGTTCCACACTTTATTTCCGGGGACTGGAGATAGGGCCATGCACCAGATGGTCAGGTTATTTGATTGGGCTGGTTTATTACCATACACCCTTGTCAAAACAGACTTCAGCTCCAAAAATCCACCTTTGATTTTTCTCTCTTCATTAGTAATGTATATTCCTACAGGACAGATTCAGAATAAGATCAGTCACCAGCGATTTCTCTATGAGCCATAAAATGATGTCAAGGCATGGCTGGGGATGGTTCAGTTTACAGTAACAGAGTCTAAAATGGTCAAACCACAGCTTCTGCACACTGAGGGTTTATTCCAGCAGGCCTAAACTGTTAACCAAAACTGTTTTGCTCAAGCTCCTGCATGGTATTGATCAATGGTCAAGGTACAAAATGTATTGATTAATAGTATTGTTTTATTTGTGATCATGGGTCTGAGCGGGTTGGGGGCCGGTTGTCCTCATTCACCAGCATTGTTTATTGATAACAGTGAGACTGATGATTTGCACCTAACCTGGGCTAGAACCTGGTAAGGCTCTGCTGTCGAGTCTGGCTACACAGCAGGAATATGTCTAAGTAAAATATAAAACAACCTCAACCAAGACTCCATTTTGGGCTCCCCACTTCGGAGCTGTTCTGTGCCATGTTGGTCGTCTCCCCGCCCTTTACAGAGAGCCCCCTGCCTGATTTCCCTGCCCCCCTTGCTGTAAATCTATACATGAGATGTATATCCTTACTTTAATGGTGTTGTTATATTTTATCTTTTTCCTGAAATAAGCTGGAGATTTATAACCGTTGTCATTTTGGGTCCTGTGAGTCTCCTTCAGAAATAGAAACTGTTTAACTGCCCCTGTTGGTCCAATCTCCAAATAGCATACATGGTAGCAGGAAATTAATTTAAAACCATCTGTCACTGTAGGCCTGAACTTTCTGAAATCTCATAGCTTTTTTACACTACAGGCTCTAAATGCTAATTTTGAAGTTGTTACTTGCCAAAGTAATAACTAAATGCAGTTGTACCACACTGTCTGGCCTCATCGTTGGGAGGGTAACCAGCACATCAAACCAGGGCTTACTTAACAGGAGAACATATCTATAATGACCTTTAAGAGATATTTTCAGGATTGCATCAATCATTATTATGGGTGAATTGTTTTCTAAGTGAATAACAAAACCAGTAACAGTCTCAAAATGAATCAAGTGGATCGATACAATCGTTCATCAACATGAACTTTTTATTTTATCAGTTAAAAATAATAATGTAGCAAGGGCTATGGGACTCAGTTACTGTTGAAAACATATTGAGCTTTGAGAAAAAAAAATGACTCAAGAGAAAGGAGAAGGGCTGTTGTCCTGGGCAGGGAATGTCTGGGATTGTTCTGGCAGGTGCTGCCCGTTCACTACCTATGAAAAATACGGCTTTGTATGTTCTCACCTGAGCTTGCCTCAATGTGCGTTCCTGCTCCAAGAATTTTCAATCCTCCTGGAGGAGTTCCTTGTCATAAAGCCCAGTCCTTTATGTATACTTCCTCTAGCCTTCCCCACCCCACCCTACTCAGAGCCTTACAAGAACAAGTCGAAAGTATTTGGTTCTTGACTTAAAGCAGTGGTGCTAAGTTATTTGAACTAAATGAAATTATTAATAAATGTATGTTGAGTTAAACTTTTTTGCCATCATATAAAAGATCTGCTTTTACTAACAGTTGAATAAAACATTAGTATTTATAAGCGAGTTAAAGAAGTCAGGTGTGGGGCGCCTGGGTGGCTCAGTTGGTTAAACATCTGACTCTTGGTTTTGGCTCAGGTCATGATCTCAGGGTCCTGGGATCAAGCAGGGAATCTGCTTCCCCTCTTCCTTCCCCTCTATTCCTCCCCCTGCTCGCACATACTCTCTCTCTGTCTCTCTAAAATAAATGAACCTAAAAAAAAAAAAAAGTCAGGTGTATTTCTTAATTCTGGGAAATGTGACCCACACTGATCCTCTTGGAGGCACTAGATGCGGTATCAGAAAATGCCATCTGGTAGGCAAGATGATGTTTGTTTTGGAATTAGAACTGTCCTTAAATGCCAAGATCAACTTGGGCAATGGCAATTTCTATTCTTCCTTGTTTTCTTTCTTTCTTTGCCAAACCCATTTCCACTGACTGATTTCCTTACCTTCTTTTTCACCTTGAGGAAAGCCTCCTTCTATAAACCACGTGAGATTTGCTGTGGGAAATACATTCCTCTGGGAGCAGGTAAATGTTCTCTGGGGGTGAAGGCAGAACATAGAAAGGCTTATTTGCAAATTCAGAAGAAACTGGTACCCCTTATATCCCCACCAATTGTCACATGAGGCAAATTGGCAGGAAACGATTTTCTCCACTTTCAACAAAGCTGTGTTTACCTTTCAGAGGTTATGTGAAAATGTGAGCTACAAATAGGCTGTCTCCTACAGAGATGTCATGATTTCATGGCTGGAATCATAGGTTAACCTATGAAGAATCTAGGACTAGACTAATGTTGCAAGTCTGGATTCTGGGTTCTGGAGAAGGGAGATCACAACTCTATATAGGAAGAATAAAATAATACTAAATGGAAGCCAAAGACTAGAAAGATGGAAGAAGCTCTAACAGTCAGAGGCCAGAAAAGAATATTCTGTTATACTAAAAGCTAAAAGACATATGCATTTTGGTTGTTTCCACTTCCAAAATAATGTAAAGTACTATTTATAGCAACAACCACAGAAACCATTATTGTAAATATCTCACTTTTGACTTGTAGAGAATTTATGTAATTGATTTTTCATTTTATCATCTTAAAAATCCCATAGGGCAGATAGGACATGCTTTATCATTGCCATTTGACAGATGGGGAAACCAAGGCACCAAATCACAAGGGTGGTTAAAGGGAGTGGAATGTAGTTAATGGCACAATTGGGAACTCTTACGCCAGTCCCAGTCCAAGGTATTTCCTAGTAAAACACATTGTACTGAAACAATGTGAAACTGAAACTGAAAGAGACAGAACAGGTAGCTTATGTTACAAAGCCAGAAAGCTTAGAGGTAGGGTCAGTTATGTTTTATTTCCAATACCATATTTGCTCTTTTTGAGATGATAGTTTATTTCAACAGCCTGGTGAAAATATCCTTATTGGTTCCTCATCATTTTATCTGAGACACTGCAAAATTATAATGCCATTCATAGTTATCTGTTTTCTCATCAAGAGATATATGTATTTTACATATAACCAGCCCTGGTTCTTAGTTCTCAAATATTTTCCACAATGGATGGATTCACTAGTTAACTAGTAAAGAACAATGAACTATATGTAATACTTGGTGTGCCAATTTCCCCACAGACTAGTTATACCCAAAGAGTTTGGTCCTGAGCAGAGTTGAAAACCACATTTAAGGATGCTGAAGTAGCATCTTTCTGGTGAGGTCTTAGTGAGGTGCAGTTTAGCACCCTCCCATACATCCCTACAAAAAGCCCAAGGAAATCATGAGACTTTCGGAGGGGACTATCTGTGGAATCCAAAATGGTAGGTAGTGAACACTGCAGCTGCCAGGTTTTCCACTCATTCCACACTTGACAATGGGGACACGTGCATGCATCAGCAATGCAGATCCATGACATTATGTCACTTTTTGTCCTGGAAAATCAAAAGTAAAACCAGGTCCCCTATAATATGTTCTTATTTAGTAAAGAAAAGAGAGTTCAATTTATTTAATCCAATAAAATGCCAAAGATTGATGTTTATCTTCAGGTGGTCCAGGAAGGGATGTAAGAGTTACAGGAAATGAAATGTTAAAAAAAAAAAAAGTGGTAAAGGTTTTTATTAATGCCAATACCTTTAACCACTCCCATGACTCATTTTCTCCATGCTCGGTTAACCCACCATAAGATGATGATATGGTAATATCAGGAATAAGTAGGGGTTCCATTATTTTATAAAGGCAACATGCTTACTGAAGAAATCTCTTGTCAACTAAAAAAAATATTAAAAAGCTTTAACTCTGTGGATTCTCTGAATTCAGATTTTATGGAGTGAGTCAGATTTCAAATACTCTCTACCACCTCCAGACTGTGTTCTAAGATTTTTGTGTCTGAATGTGGTTCTCGTCCTGAACTCCTCCCTCCCAGTCTCTCTAAAATTGAAAAGCCACAGACTTAGCTAGTTCAGACTGAAGTCAAACCTCTTATGAAACATTAAGTTTTTAGGGTTTTGCTGAGCAAGCAGAGCTACTGCTGTTCGGGAACTTCCAAATGAGTAAGAAGAAAAACATCTTAAACTAAAAAAATATATATATGAAGTAAATATGGACAAGAGTCTGTGTGACACACCCACGAGTGTACACACACACATCCCTCTGTTGCGAAGTCAGAATCACTCACTCACTTAATGTGTGGCTGCCGCATTCACGACCAAGCCAAAGAACTGGTTTCTCCAACACACACTGTTCTAAGTACACACGGAATACATGCGCAATAGCACGAAGAATGATGTCGTAAGTGGCAAAAAGTATTTGAGCAGTTCTGTAGGAGAGCAGAGAAGGGTGAACTCTGGGAATAACTTAGTGAATGGAGTTATATTTTGCAGACAGGGAAGACATGGGCCTGGACTCCACAGGTGGCCTGTGGTGGAAAATAGTGGGGAATTCACAAAGGTGGATAGATGGAAAGGGTTCGTAGGCCGACATGTGAGTTGGGCATGTTGTCCTGGCAGCAGAGGGAAGCCAGCGGGAGGCTGGAGCATGATGAGATTGAGGAGTCAGGAAAATTGAGTCCACATCTGGCTGTAAGAATGATCCTTTCCTTTTTTCCGCAGATGAAATACTGAAATGCTGACCATTTTGTAAATTAGCCCAGATTCAGTTTGCCTAAGTTTGGGCAGAACCTTTTCATAAGGGCTTTCCATAGAACCATTTAAAAAAACATTTAGCTTTTTAGTTTAGAAAGAGGAATCTTCTTTTTTTTTAAAGTTCCCCTATTTGCTTATCAACTCTTCGTTTCTATTTGGAGTCTTTCTTCCTCTCAACATTCTTTCTTCACTTGAAATTTATCTTTCAGTCTGTTTTCTACTGTCATTTCTATCTTTTCTTCTATAACTCAAGCATTTTTCTTCCACAGACACCTTCTTCAAAATGTTCCTGTCTCCTCTTGGTAGGTTCTCCTTCCTAAATATACATATATATAAATATAGTATTTATGTAAATATAAAATTTTTGCTTAAACTGTGACTATTCTTTTATTTCACTCCAACTGAGAATACAAGCCAATAGCGATTGAGCTTTTCTAATTCCAGTTACATAATATAATAAAAAGCAACCTCAAATCTGTCTCTCAACTTGTCATATTTCTTTAAACTTGGGAGGTTTCCTCTCACTTAATCTTCCCTTTTCTGCAAGTTCTTTGGCTTTTCCACTGACTGTATTTACAACATCCATAGTTTCCAAACCCAATGTTGAGACTCACGGTCTGACAATTGGACAAGATATCTGAAAGCACAGATGTCGTTGAGGCCTGTGGTTTCTCTGCTGAAATCTCACCCTTCCCCCACCCCTTCCATATTTTCCTTTGCTTAAGAGGCCAGATGATGGAGTTATCTGGAAACAGAACTAAGACTTGTAGGTGCTCGACTTACTATTTTATTACCAGCCCTGTGCCAGGAACCTCTTTTTTCGGGGGTGTGGAAGGGGGGCGGAGAGAAAGTTGGCATCTGTGTGTGGGCAGGCAGGGACACACCCACTTGGAAAAGAGGCATCTCTGGAAGTGGGAGGGAACAGGACTGTAGGCGCCCTCCTCCTGGGGGCAGGAGTCAGCTACTGGCCACCCACAGCGTGCAGGAGCCCTCACCCAGTACCAGAGCCTCAGGCACACCTTCAGAGCCCTGCTTGCCCGTAAGTAAGTACCCACTTGAAGGGCTGGGGGTGGGAGTGTTTCCTAACTCTTTGCGGTTGCTAAGCTTGACGAACAAGGCTCTCCATTACTTAAGAAATGATCCCAAAAAGTAGAGAGAGATGTCAGACTATTTTTTACAATGTAATTTAATTGTCCATCTATTTATTTCAATGGGGGTGAATCAGGCAAGCCCCCGGAGTAAGCGGCTGTCGGGAAGGTCTTATCGGCTCTTGGCTTTGCAGGTGATGGTGCACGGGAAGGTGCAGGGTAAGCTACTCGCTGAGGACCGTCGGGCGACAAGTCTGTGGAGATGTGCTCCACCTCTCCCTCCTCTCTGCATGCCAGTTCCTCCTGCTGAAAACAGCTAAGCCTGCTGTTCGGAATTCTTAGAATCTCAGCCCCAGAGGGACCTCTCTAGGGCCAAACTGACCTTACACTGGGAACTTTATTACCCAGAGTTTGGACTCTCTGTTGCGACAGTTCTCAGGAAGTGTGGGTGTCTCCCACCATCAGCGTCTCTCTCTCTCTCTCCGGGGCGTGCTTCTCCCTACTCTGAGGAAGGCCAGTGAAGCCCCAGCCCTGGACGTCGTGAGCAGCCCGAGGGTTCGGAGCCTCCAAAACCCATATATAGGCATCCAGGACACAGAAACAGTGGAAGCAGCCAGGAGGGAATCAAGAGAAAACCTAAAATTTCCGATGTTCAAAAACTCGGGGTGGTACTTAATGTAGAGAACACTGAATTCTTTGTGATTCCTGGACTCATTTGCTTTGCCTTTCTGGTCTAGACAAGAAGGGATCAATACATATCTGGGGCCTGGAGGGAATGTACACGGGAGCCTCAGAGGCCATTTCATGTGGCTCTGACTCACCCTGACTCTCTGTGAAGTGGAAACTTCACACCACTCAGTTGTGGCCAGCCTTTGACCTTTGTTGTGAATCCCCAAGAGTTACCACAGTCCCTTCCCAATTACTCATTTCACTTTAGCTGTGGTTCAGCTAAGACTTCTGGCTCAAGGAAAGCTGTAGAAGAGGACACAGGATGAGGCGGGAAGAGGAGGAAGAGGAGGGAACCAAGATGAAGGTAAAAAGAGACCTAGAGATGAAGGAGGAAGAGGCAGTAAGTGAGAAGGGAGAACTAGTTGGCCCTTTCGCAAGCGCCATGCCTGCCCCTACACCCCACAACAAGGGCACCCGGTTTTCCGAGGTATGGGAGTATTTCCACCTGGCCCCTGTTCGTGCTGGCCACCACCCCAACCAATATGCCACCTGCCGCCTGTGTGGCAGGCAGGTGAGCCGTGGCCCTGGGGTGAATGTGGGCACCACAGCCTTGTGGAAACATCTGAAGAGCATGCATAGAGAGGAGCTGGAGAAGACTGGCCATGGTCAGGTGGGGCAGCGCAAGGACCTGAGGCCCCAGGGGCCCCAACTCCCCATGGGTATCGAGGGCGACTGGGCCCGGCTCCTGGAGCAGGTGGGGGCCCTGGCTCTGTGGGCCAGCCAAAGGGAAAAGGAGGTGCTTAGGAGGGAGAGGGCAGTGGAATGGCGGGAGAGGGCAGTGGAAAGGCGAGAGCGAGCCCTGGAGGAGGTAGAGAGGACCATCCTGGAGATGAAGTGGAAGCTGAGGGCTGAGAAGGAAGCCTGTCAGAGACAGCAAGAGCAGCTTGCCGTGGCTCATCCCTTCCATTTTGTGTAATCAGCCTGGGAGGTATCTATTCTGAAAACACAGACTGAGGCTCACAGCAAAGAGCCACGTTAGGATAAATAGAAAGAAAGGATTTGTGTTTTTAAGAGAAAGAGTGCATAGTATGAGTTAATCTCAGTAGGTATCAACTGACCAAACACTTACCTACAGGGTCCCTAAAGCTGTCCTGACCAAAACTTCAAAATGTATTAACTGAAGATAAAGGTTGTTTTGCCACCATGGGTCTGTGAGTTTGGGTGCAGAATCTACTATCCTGCTATGTTGCTGAGTGAAAATAACGGGATTTATGCTCTGCACTTGGTTTTGGTGGAGCTGAGGGTTCTGACAGTTGAGGCTGGTCAGGTGGCTGGAATGTGCCTACATGATCAGCTCACTCTAAGAGACCCCACCAGGAGTGGAGCTTAGGCTTCCTGGGGCCCAGGTGTTTGCAGACATCCTGGTGGTGAGTTAAGAACTGGGTACAGAGCTTGTTCTGTGGGGCCCAGCTGTGGAAGGACATAGAAGCTTGCGCCTGAGATCTCAGGCCCCATCCAGTGCAGGTCTTTCTCCCACTGGTGCTGTGTTGTACTGCCTGCTCATATTAAAGCTGTGTCACCAGCAGAACCTGTCTGAATCCTGTAAGTCTTTTCAACAACCTAACACATACGTCAGTAATGTGTAATCAGCACAGAGAGAATTAAAGACTTTTCAACTTACTCGGATGAAACATTAAGAACAGAGGATATAGAAACTTATTCATAAATACTTAAAAATATAATCCAATTTCATATTAAGGTCTGTTAAAGAGGGAGTTCATGAAGAAGAGATGAGAGAAACTCAGGAAGGAAAAGAGAAAGGTAGAGAGATGGGGTGAGGAAGGAGAAATAAAGAACAGAGGCAGAAAACCAAAAGAAAAAGGGATAGAGAATAAGTGTGAACACAGAAGAGAGACAGATTCCCACCCCCCCCCCCAACAAAAATTCACCATGAAAAGATGAGAGACCATGACTGAGAGACTGAAGGACAGAGAACATTTTCCTAGGTTCTGAGGTCAATTTTAACACTTAGGTTGCTTTTGTTTTGTCCCGACAGACCACTCATTCATTTGAGCAGTAGTTTTGGGATTTTATCCTTGTCTTTGAGATGCTGGCTGCATGCCAATTCTTCCCTGTTTTTTCTTTTTTTTTTTAATGTTCATTTTAAAATACTCAGAGATGGGGTGCCTGGGTGGCTCAGATGGTTAAGCGTCTGCCTTCGGCTCAGGTCATGATCCCAGGGTCCTGGGATCAAGCCCTGCATCAGGCTCCTGGCTCAGCGGGGAGCCTGCTTCTCCCTCTCCCTCTCTCCCTGTTCATGCTCTCTCTCTCTCTGTATCTCTGTGTCTCAAATGAATAAATAAAATCTTTTAAAAAAATAAAATACTCAGAGATGCTTTGAAAAAAGGAAACCTAATAGTCTATAGAGAGAGAACAATTCCCTGGGCTGTTGAGAATATGCCTAATATGTTCACTCTGGAATAGAAGAAAACCAACTGGCAAGGACTGTGGCCTTTGTGCTGGAGCGACTTTTATTTTGAATGACTCCTCTAGAACCTAATGTTTTTTATTTTTTGTTTTTACTGGGTTGGGGATGGGGTGAGGGGTGGTGGGAGCTGGGGAGACAAGAGCTAATAAACACAGTCTTTCATTGTCTCGTAAATAAGCCCAAGCCCTTTATGGGCATCAACCTTCCAGAAAGCGGACAGGATCCTGGTATAATAATGGCTTCTTGCCTCGCTCCGTCCTTACCTGTGTGTGGCTCCTTCTTAGCGCTTGTTCTTAGACTGTCAGCAGCTCTAACAGCCACATTTGTCTTCCCTGTGAGCTGTGTGTGGAACAAGCACAAGTCCAAACACAAACTTGTGAAAAACCCAGACTGTACTGCAGGCTTATAATCTCCCTTTTTGTTCTAGCAAACTGCCTGATATTAGAGATTTCACTTCCCATATGAATTCCCAAAGGGGTATGGTGCCATTTTTAGGGCCCTCTCCAGCTGCGGTGAAAGCTCAGGGACTCACCACTGCAAATGAAGATGGCCACTGGGAGTCCCATGGCTGGACACTGGAAATCAGAGCCTTACTGTGTCATAAGATGGAAGGATGGAAGGAAGGAAGGAAGGAAGGAAGGAAGGGGAAAAGAAGCTCTAATACCTAATCTTAAACACACACACACATACATTTGAAATGGAATTTAAGAAGGACAAAGAATCCACAAAGTTTCAGGCTTTGCAAAATCACAATTAAATAAACAGCAACAATGAAAATCTGCAAACAGCCACCAGAGCTATACTGCTGAATGGTAATATGTGGTTTTAGATTATGGTGTCTGCTTCATATGTCCCTTACGATTTTAGCTTCTCTTCATTTCAGGCATTTTTTTTTTTTAAGATTTATTTATTTTAGAGAGAGAGCATGCACGAGCGTGGGGGAGGGGCAGAGGGAGAGAAGCAGAGCAGAGCTTGGAGCCTGACACAGGGCTCAATCCCACGACCCTGAGATCATGACCTGAGCCGTAATCAAGAGTCTAATGCTTAACCAACTGAGCCATGCAGGCGCCCCCTTTTCAGGCATTTTAACCCCAACTACTTTCGTTTCCTGTGTCATGTTAGGTAGTTCTTTTTATATTTTTTTTCACCTAACTTTTGTCAAACATCATAAACGTGGAGAGTAACAAGGACGAGATCCAGAGAGATGATGGCGTTAAATAAAAAGAGGCATCAATAGAGACATGTGGCTCGTGGAAAGATCGAACTATTGAGTAAACTCTGGAGTTTTCATGCCTCTCTCTGTACCTTCTTTTGCTGCATCTTCACAGTGGGTTATGCAGGGCCAGGGCTATGGGCTGATGGCTCTCTAGGCCACATATTTTTTTGGAATACAAAGTCTGGTACATGAAGGGGCCCTGTGGTTTCAGTAAAGACTCCCTTTCCATCTCAGCTGCAGGGGCGAGGCTGTGCACCATGCTGGGGTCCTGGTGAAGTCTTGCCCTGGAACTCACAAGAATATGACACCCACAGGTGTGACACTCTCCTTGGACAACCCTGGCATGTCAAAGCCTGAGAAGCATCATTGTTAGGGTAATTTGGGGGCTTTTCTATTTTTCAGGAAAAGCCAATTAACCATAAACTTTATCGCTTTAGTAATGCTGGAAAACATAACTCATAACTGACCAAATCCCCATTACTTTAACACCAAGGGCTGCTGGTGTAGTGACTATGCAGCACATAGTAGGTATCCAATATGAACATGTTGAATTAGTTAATTTCTAAGGAATGAAGGGGGGGTTGGAAATTACCATTACCCAACACTTATGGATGCCAGATGGTAGATACTTCGCATATGTTCTTTCATTTGATCTTTATATCACTCTTGGGAGTTTGGGATCATTGTCCCTGATGAGGAAGAGCTAAGGATGAGGAACCTAAGGAATCGAGGCCCCAGGGGCCAGAGTTAATAAGTGATGGAGGAGAATCCAGACCCAGGTCTATTGGATTCCACAATCTATATTCTGTTTTTTCATTATCTCATACTATCTCCTAAAATCAATCACACAGGAGATTTATGAATGTATATTCAGATGAAGGGATGGGAGAAAGAGAATAGGTGAATGATAAATAGTGGGAGGAAAGAAATATTCTCAAGACATCTATTATGTGCAAAGTACTCCATTAGTGTGCATAAATTTCATTCACCTAAGAATCCTGTGAAATATTAATCTTGATCTCAGTTTTAGATGACTTAGCTGAGACTCGTGGAGGTGAACTACTGGATGAAGATATGTAGCCAGGAAGTGGTCAAATTAGGATTCGACATTAGTTCTCTCTGCCCCTGAACCATAGGCTCCTCTCATTATACCATCCTGCCTGGAATGGGGCATGCTAAATTCTCATCCTTGCTCTGCCCTTTATTAGTGACTCAGTCAGTTGTGTAGACTCTCTGGGCCCCAATTTCTCATCTGTAAAATGACTGATGCCCTACCTTCTTCAGAGGCTCAATGAAAGCATGACTCGATAAAAGCATGTAAAAGGACTTTGAAGAGTTAAGAAGCTATTAAAAATACAATGGGGACTCTAAGAATATTAGGGTAAAGAATTACTAATGTTTGGCAAAATCTTAAAAGATCCACAGACAAGCTATGTCCTGTCACTGGTTATGTAGAGTCGGCGAGAGATTACTCACTAATTCCCCAGGAAGGAAGGTTCTCCGATTTTCCTAGTCAGAGCCTAGGTAAGCATGGATACAGAAGAGGAAATGTGATAACGTGTAAGAGAAAGTCCTTTTTCTTTTTAACTGGAATTCTTGGATCCAATCTTATAGATTTATTCCGTATCTGGATTGAGTCCTTATTACCTGTAAACACTGGCATAAAGAACCTTCAAGAAATCCTTAGAAGAACCAAAAACACCTATCAGACATTGTGCCATTAGTTTGTTTTATTTAAACTATTGAAATGAAGTCCACTAATAAAATTGGAATTAATTGTGAAAGAACAAAAAATTTTAAATCTTTTTTATATACTCAGGACTACAACAGCAATTATCTAAGAGACTAATACATAAAATCAACAGAAGACACAAATATATTCTCATTTAAAACCATCCCACAGAGTTTGAGCTATGATTTGTATGCGGCTGTCAAATTAAATGACTGATATGCAGCAGGATCCGAAATTATAAGTTATTTAGTGTTCGTAGGACTAGAAGAAACTAGAATATGAGTATAATTTTCTCTCATCTCATGTAGCAAGAAATGTTTGAGAATTCGTGGGAATATTTATTTTATAACTTGGGATTTTAAAAAGCTTGAATTAAGTCAAAGTGCCCCAAGATAGCTGATTAACACTAATAGTAATAACAATATAACAACAATCATAATGTTCATTGAGTGCTTAATATCTGCCATATTTATACCAAGAAATTTCCATACATTATTTCATTTAATTCTTAAGAACAACAACAATATGCAGATACCCTTCTTATCCTCTTCACAGAGATAGAAAAACTGACCACAAAGATTGAAGTTATTTGCCCAAGGTCACAGCCAGCAAGAAGAGCTGGCAAGTGAGCCCAGATCCCAGTGACTTGAGGCTGTCAACTATCAACTATCAACAAGAAACTGAAGTCAGAGAGCCCTACACTACTTTCCTTTTCCACCTGCCCCTTCTCCTACTGCCTGAGAAATAGCCAGGGTTCTGAAGGAGTTACAGAAGGGCAGCTTTCCTCTTGTTACTTCTAAATAAAAACTATAGGAAAGCTGGTATAGGAAATGGACTAGAACAAATTAAATGCAGCTGAACAAAAGCCTCATTCTTACACCAGGATTCACACTACTTTCTGTCCTACTTTTCTTTCCCTATCTTCTCCAGTTTTTATTAAGGAGAAACTGAAACTATTGAGACTATTTTTCCAGAAAATTTAAGGACTAAGGATTACAGATCACATGTCCTAAGAGCCCAAAGTCAGGAAGTAAGGATTCCCATTTGGTTTCTAGGATCAACTCAGCTTCCCTTCTTCACCAGAAATCAATTGACTGAGGGCCAAGGAATAAGGTCCTTTGAGAAAACATTCTGGACAATGATGCAACACAACACATCTTGGCATATTATACTATAGATTATCAAAGGTTTCAATGTGACTCACCTCTCTCAAGACATCCGTAGAGTTATTTTCCACAATCGTGGGGATTTCTGGCTTAGCTTAAAGGCAAATAAAACATAGTTAGTGGCACTGACTGTCATCTGACCTGGCCACTAGTGTGTGTGTGTGTGTGTGTGTGTGTACGCGTACATGTAAAATTCATCATTCATCAAATATTTATTAAACACCCACCATGCACCCAGCAGTATGCTAGATACATAGAAACAAAGGTGGACAGATCAACTTCACTGTCTTTTTTTTTTTTTTTTTAAGATTTTATTTATTTGACAGAGAGAGACAGCAAGAGAGGGAACACAAACAGGGGGAGTGAGAGAGGGAGAAGCAGGCCCCCCGCTAAGGAGGGAGCCCGATACGGGGCTCTAGCCCAGGACCCTGGGATCATGACCTGAGCTGAAGGCAGACGCTTAACGACTGAGCCACCCAGGCGCCCCTCAACTTCACTGTCCTTAAGAAATTTACATTTTCATGGAAAATACAGACCTTAGAAAGTCAGAGAATATTTCAGTGATTTTGATGTCCTGCTAGACTGTAAGTGCCTAGAAGCCAGGCTGTTTCATTCATCTCTCCATCTCTAGCACTTAGCAGTGCCCAGCACAAAATAGACATTGAGTACATTATGTTGAACTGAAGTGGTTTCAAGTCAGTTCTTGACGGCAGACAGAGCCGTCTATGAACCAGTGGAGAAACGGTAAGCCTGTCACAGGGGCTGTCACTGCTACATCCACTTGGCACTTGCTTCTACTTGTTGAAGGCCTCTCGTTGGGCATACCTAATGAGTCCCTCCTAAGGATTTATGCGAGCACACTTAGTCCACAAGTAGGGCAAACTGGAAGTCTAGAGAGCTAATGGAGATAACAGATGGCGAGTTGGTGGGTAATACCCCAACTTCCTTGCCTTTATATGGGAGAACTCTGATGTGTGTTCTTCCGGAGTTCTCTGGGGGGAGTGAGCTCTAAGTCCACACTGGTAACCAGCATGATCGTGTACATTTCATTATCTTCCTTCCCTTCCTTGGCTTTTCCACTCCTCTTCTGATGTTTCCCTCCATAAATTCCCTCAATAAATACTTCTCAAATAAATTAATTTAGCTCAAATCCTTGTCTCAGTGTTTTCTTTCAGCGGAACCCAAACCAAAGTACAACCCAAACCAAAATACACTAAAGGGAGGAGGGGTATTCTGACCTCATATTAGCAATAGATACTATTGGAATGAAGGACCTGAAAGAAAAAACAGTTACTGAAAGTTGCAAGGGTACTAGAGAGACATTCCTTTAGAAGCTCAGGACAATCAGGTTTAGGGCTTAGGAGGGGGCAGGAGCAAACCTGTGATGACAGGTTCCCTGATAAGGAAAGTCAAGTCAGAGGAGGTTAGTGAGAGAGGGGCAGGAAGTAGCAAGGGAGCTGGGGAAGCTTCTGGTTCCTGGACTGTTAGAGAATGGAGGCATTATTAAGGAAGAAGAAATAGCTGGATTTAGGGCATCCAAGCTGGAGTGGGTCTCTGCTACACTTGGGTATTTATTTCAAGGTTTTCAAGGTTTTATTTTTGGCTTGTTCTATTTGAGGAATCACTGAGGGATGCTGAGTGGGTCCTGAATAAGACATGTATTTTACCGCCATGCCAGGACCACTATAATATGCACTTGGTGGGACACACACATCATCTAAGGACTAGATGAGACTGGCCAAGCACAGCCTGGCTGACCCATTCGCTAAAGAGGAAAGCCAGGAAGCAGGGAAAATCTAATGAACGAGCAGGCAGAACCTCTTATTTTTAAGCATCCACTGAATGGAGATCAAAGAAGAAACAGAGAGGGAGATGTAGACACAAACAGGGCCAGGAGAGCGAGACGTCAAAGAGTGAAAAGCTTTCAAGACGAAGATGGAAGTATCTGCCGCAGAGAGCTATGGGGCACGGTTAAGTGTTGACAAGGCAGTTAGATCAAGCTGTGGTGCAAAAACCCTTGGCCAAATGGGACATAGTTTGCCTAACTTAGAATCGACATTTCTTTTCACATCCTGGATAGCTGCCTTCATTGATTTGCCAAAAGTCAGGCCGAATGAGTCAGTTTCATGTTGGGTCCAAGACAGTCACGCCCCAGTAAGTAAGCGGAGGGTGGTATCGATGAGAGATGAACAGTCTTTCCCACCTCTTCACAGTGCACTGTTCAGGCTCCATAAGCAACCTGATCATCAGGGGTGATCCATTATCTCTTAGCCCATCCCCCAAGGAGAGGTGGAGGGAAAGGGAGGGAAGGAGGGCGAGCCGGAGAGAGATATAGGAAGAGCTATAAGCAAAAGACTTCAAACTACAGAAATCTTGGCTGTAGCTGCTTCTATCTTTATGCACCACAGGGTTTGCATTTCCCTCAAAATACTGGATTCTCTGATCTTTAAAAATAATGCAATATGATTCTAAGTAAAAACAAAGATTATTCACTTGTCTAGTCATTCAGAGAACTGAAGGAAAATCTAGTAGCTCATGCCCTTAGATTTTGTGAAGTTATTTTCTCTCTATTTACCTCATTTGCAAAAATAATTAATTGTTCATCCACATCACTGCTTTTGTCTTTGCCTTCATTTAAAAATCACTTTTTAAAAAACACAGTTTTTGGCGACAAAGATAAAAAAAATCCAAAGCCAGGGGTTTGTATTTATTAATATTGCCATGCATCACTGAGCAAAGTAGGATTTTCACATTTCCCCCAAATTTACTCCCTGCAGAGTCTGTGCAATTTGAGTGAGGCCACGGTGGATATTTCAGCTCTGCTCTACACTTTTGTGAAGGCAGGGATAGAGGGCCATCCCTGCAGGCTCCTTTGCTGAGGAGCTGGCCCTGCTGGGGGTGGGGAGACTCCTGCAGTTTCTTTGGAGCTGTGTTTATCATTTTCCTTTCCTCACACTGTCCCCATTCTGCCTTCCTCCAGCAAGCAACCAAGACAGTTAGACAACTAAGTAATTAGATTTTGGCAGTTATAATTAAAGAGATTTCCAGTATTCTCAGGAAACATTAAAGTTGTAAATAAGGAGTGGTCACCAGGAAACTGGCCAATCTATGGCTTTCTGTGTGATTTTGTTCTATCAACTCAATCATTGTTTTTTAACTTCTATCCTTATCCTCACCCCTAACATGAATGACAGTCTCAAGGGAAACAGCTCCAGAGTAGCTACCCTGGAGGGCTACTCTCCAGTTAACAGGGCACTTTCTTTCCAGGGTAGAGCAAGGCAGGAGAAATGGACAGAAAGACGGCAGGGAGCTCAGAGAACAAAAAATCTTACCAAAAACCTTGACTGTGGTGGAACTCCTCAAGATTTTGCCAGGTCTGACCATAACGTGGCAGGAGAACTTCTGGTCATCATCGTGGATTTGGACTGGAGAGAGGTAGAGTTTATAGTCTGTACCTAGCTTGACTCTGTCTTTAAATAATGTGGAATTGCTGATGGATTGACCTTGGGTGATAAGTGTTTCCCGAGTTCCATTATCCTCCTGCTGAAAGAAATAGTTACTAGTTACTGTGCACTCAATCATGCCAGCTCTGGGCTAGATGTTCTCCATGCATTAATTCATTTATATCTGTAAAAAATAGAGATGATGAATGAAGAATTGAAATTAAGAGAGATTTAGTATGTTACTAGAGAAAAGATCTTTACACTTGACTTTCAGTTGACAACTACAGTCACCCTCTCCTAACATGAATGTAAACTTGATGCTCTTCTGACTACAACTTCCCCTTCATAACTTTCCATAAGCTGCATATCGGGGGTGGGATTTGGAGGGCACAGCACTGGGGGCTAATGAAAGATCATAAATCTCATTTTAAGTTCAAGAATCTTAATGCTAAGATGTGCTTATCAGTTTTGTTTTAAATCTTCACCAGAACTGGATGATTACAGTTGTCCTCCCTTCAACCTTCCCCTTAGAAAAGGTCTCATTTTAGCTCCCCTAGGGGCCAGGACTAGGAGGAGGTGAAGAGACCCCTAGGGCATAACATTTAAGGAGGCACTTAGTCTCAGGGACTTGTAAGTGCAGGGTGGGCATCTGAGAGTAAGTGCCTCCTTAAATTTTGTGCCCTAGACACCTCCTAGTCATGGTCCTTGCCCTCTGTCCTTATTTCTATGTTACCTTCAAGGAGGACACATATAGGGTAGACTGTAAATGTTAATCTGAGTTCCACAGATCAGAGTGTATTTGAAGTACTTCGTTCTTCTATTCCATATCCTTTCTTGGGTCTGTGAAGGAAAGCTCCTATTATTCTTGCCATACCCAGAATTTCCATGGACAAGATCCCTGGGGTATCACCGTGCTGGTCAGTGTCAGTAAATGTGATAAGGGCCAGTGAGGAGGAGACTCTTGAGGGGCACAAGGGTAGAGGAAGGGTTATGCCCTCATTCTTCTTTAGTATAACTTAATATTCTCAACTGAGTTGCTTTGAAAACATTCTGATGCACAAAGTCTCTCCTCTGAAGATTCTACCTCAGTTTTTCTGGGATGAGACTCAGGCTGGGGTATTTTTTTTTAAAGGTCCTCAAAGGATCCAGATTTGAGAACCACTGGTCTAACTCTAAACAACAGATGAATCATTATATGCAGAGATCAGGGGGAAATGAGGGGAACTAAGATGAAGAAGGTTGAACAGCAAGCATTTGATGGGGAAGAAGAAGTCACAAAATAGTGAAAACAAAGATCTGTTGCTTGAAATTTCTGGCCTAAATCTGTTAAAAAAACAGACAGATTCAGAGTAGTAGAAATGGAAGCTAGGTGAGTGAGAGAATTCAAGTTTGAGCTAGGAGCAGAAACAGTGGAAACACGAAGACAGACTTCTTAAATAGTTCATACAGATATTTCCAGAATATACTTAGTAGAAACTCTTCTGTAAGACGGGATTCTTTAGGTGCATATAGCTAGGATTGGTATCAACTTTACATACAGATTCAGATAGTACCTCTTGCAAAGAATGATACCCTGCTCAAGACTTCCTCCTGAAACAATGTACATACTTTTATCCCCACATAAAGATGGACCTAGGAGTCTTCCTAGTGAAGAAGCACATAGAAAATTAAAGGGAGAGAGATTGTATCCTGGAGACAGGGGCTCTGAAAGGAGCCCTTAGTGTTGGGTGGTGACAGCAGAAGAAAGTGGAAGGCGGTTCACTCAATGGCTGCTGATCTGGAAGCCAATCATTAAGGAAGCAGGCTCCCCCTGCAGGTCTGTACAACCTGCTAATTTACACAGCTCTTGCTTCATGCACAGGCTCTGTTTTTGTGAGGATCTTAGAGTTCAAAACGCTTCTTGGTCACTTAGGAAATGGCTCCCCACTTGGAATGCTTCTATCTGTTACTTTGTAGTGGGAAGAAAGGCAGTCAGAGGCTGAGCTTGGAGACTAGGGAGACAAAAGCTGCCCTTCCTTTATTGTGTAGCTCTGTGTGCCTGGCTAGCGTAGTTTAATTGATGGAGGAGTTAAATACGGGGCCGAGGCAAGAACCTGCACACGAAGGGCCGCCTTCTCAGAGCAAATGAGAGAAGAGTTGGGGAAAAAAATGAGTTCAGGCAAACAAATGAAATGTCTGGAGCTGGGAGAGGGGAAAATAATAGTAATATTACGTTACTACCACTACTAAAATTTTATATTCTTATTAATCATAGCTTAAATTTATTTAGCACCTATTATGTTTTAGACACTGCAAAGTTCTTTCAAGTCTTATTTATTCCTTATGACAATCCGGAATAAACTTAGGCTAAGTAATTTGTGCAAAGGTCAAACAAAGCAAGGTACTTAAGTCACAGCATCAAAAAGCAGAGACGCCCAGGTCCAGGGACAATTAAGTCTCAGAGACAACATGTACTAATAAAAACCAAACCATCACAAAATAATAAAAAGAATTTTTTTTGAGTATCTGGAATGAAAAATTTAGGAGAAATTCCAGGAAGCCGGAGGCCTTTATAAAATCTGCAGATTACAGAAGTGTGGGCAATTTGTTGACTGAAAGAGCTCTTTTAGGGGTCAGAGAGTATACCTCAACTCCTACCTGATAATAATGACCTTAGGTAACCTGGTCTGCTGGAAACAGACTGGTAAGAGGTCTTGTACAGAGTCTTTATTCTTACCTGTTTGGGTGGTTTTTTTTTTCTTGTTCTTCAAAGAAAAAAAATTGACAACTTTTTAAAATATTAATAAATATTTCTAAAACTTAATGGGATTCTCAAATTGGAGGACCCATATGATTTAATGAGGAATGCAGCCTGGACCAGCTAACATGTATGGTACCCTTATGCTACACCCTCAGGAGACACTCAAGTAATACAAACTTACTGTCCTTTAGCCTCACTGATGATCAGTCTGTATTTCATGAGAATTCACGATCTGCAAGGCTAAACTGAAGAATTACGGAGAGTCATAAAATGGATCCTTTAAAGATGAACTTTCAATATATACTGAGTACAGGTACTATGCTAAATTATTTAGTTTGAATTACCTTATTCATACTTCACAATGCCACCATCGGGTCAATGCTATGATCATCCCCTTTTACACAGGAGGGAACTAAAACTTAATGTAGGCAACATATCCAAAGTCATACTGAATTCTGAGACAAAAGGAACAACGTGTGCCCCTATATACACTTCTTAAAATATTCTCCCATATCTTGACCAAGTGGAAAAAATTAAAAAATCTACAATTAAAAAAATTTTTATGACTGTGTAAAGTTTTGCCCATGGGGGATACAATATCATGAAGTCCCAGAAACCACAGACTAACTGGAAAATACTTCTCCTTGAACAGCATACCTGGGTCTCAAAACAGACAAAAACACTGCCTACCTTTATTTAAAATTTGGTATTTTGTTCATCATGCATTTCCCCTAAATTTTGACTTTAAAAAAATAATTCATTAAAATATGTATCTCAATTGCTGATTTTTGGGGCAGTCCCTTAAATTTTGTACTTAAGGAGAGGGCCTTGCTCACCTCACCCTAATCCTAGCTCCCAGGTCACACTGTTAGTAAACAGAAGAGCCAGAACTTGAAAACAACAATTTCCTTCCAAAAGTCATGCTATTAATGATTTTGCTATATTCAGCCTCATAACAGTAGTAGAACAAACAGTCCTTGCCTTTTCTGCTTATAGTCTATTTGAGGGGAAGAATAAATTCACAAGAAAAACAAAAAATCAGGACCCATAGAAGAGAAATAAACGTATAATTAAATTTTGGGCAGGAGTTGGATAAAATAATTAACACGATGAGGGTTGGGCAGGGTCTTATCGAATCATGAAAAGCTCTTCCTGTATGTCCCTTAATGACCTTAATGACAAACCTTAAAATAATTTGTGAAGGCTTTCCTGTTTTTGTATAGACTCAGAATTTCCAATACAGAAGAGAGACTTTGTTACTATTTGATTTAGTGATGTTATCTCATCTCCAGGCTGGCCTGAGCACCATGTCGGACCTGGCTGTGCTGACCACAGCCCATGGCAGGTGTTGAGTGTACAGAGCACATTCAATAAATTCTGTTAATTGTATCAACTGCTACTTCTTTATCTCCAAACTGCTTCCTATCTTCACATTTCTTCCATTTATTTTCTATCTAGTTGGTGCTGTCAAAACGGGCGGTTAGCAAAGCTCCCTACGTCTCCTCTGTAGAACACTGGAACAATATTTTTCTAATCATCACAATTGGTTGTTAGTCCTTTGTGAGTTGGCTACCACTTTATTTCTGATTATAGTGAAGACAGGGTCAGCTGCCATCAGGTAGAAGGTGAGTTTTGTTTTCTGAATAGCTAGGCTTCCCACAGGCATGGGAAACCAACATTGTTTTTAATGCCAGTTCGCTTTTTGTTTAAATATAAAACATTACAAATATTGAAGAAGAGTATATGGAAAAGATATAGACAGAAATGTAAAGAAATATAAGCATCTAGGTTTTAGTTTTGTGCCTTTATCACAAATATTGAACTGTTTGAATCTGATACAGTCTTCTCCTTCTTTTCATGACTTTAAGGAGAAAAATCAGGGTTTCTCTTTATCCACCAAATTTGAAAACAAACATTTCTTCGATAACTCTTTCCACCTCCACTACCAACTTGTATTCAAGGTCCCAGGGTCTTGGTGTAGTACATGTCTGATGTTTGCTGGCCAACTGTTCTTTAATTATCCAGCTCAAATATAACCTAAGAAGCTTTTCCAGGTCCATTTATGCAGAATCAAACTATTTTCCCTCTCGGCTGCCATTTTTTGTTTTTATTAAAGCTGTATTTCATGGCAGGAAATATATTTGATGTAGTTTTGTATCCCTGTAGGACTTAACACTCAAAACAGATTCATATATGTTTGTGGGACTGAATTGAAATTTATGTTATAGGAAATCAGGGTGATACCTTGGAATGAAAACAGAATATTAGGGGCACCTGAGTGGCTCAGTTGTTAAGCGTCTGCCTTCGGCTCAGGTCGTGATCCCAGGGTCCTGGGATCGAGCCCCACATCAGGCTCCCTGCTCAGCTGAATATTAGACTGTATTTAGAAGCTCCCAGAATAAGCCTGCAGAATTTCCCAGATGACTCTATCCTTGTGCCTCAGGACATAAACTGGAAAAACGATTACTTGTCCTTTATCTACCAACTGCACACCACCTAAACACAAATATCCTATGACTTCTTATTCATCATCCCATCATGTACATAAACCCTCAGTGTCCACTGAAGGATTAACCCTTTGTGTTTATTTAATTACCTCTCATGCTAGTTCAATGTTGGATACGGTATTTGCATCTGATGCCTTTCTGCTTCAGTGCAGTCGCCATCCTGGAATGTAACTTCCCCAAATGCCAAGAAACCACCCCAAGGACACATTTGACACAGCCTTTGCATGGGGTTGGGTACACAAGGCAAATGACATTTTTATGATAACTGAGGATCCCAATGATCACCTTTCCCATGAGGGTCATAACAGAATTAATTAGATTTTATAAAATCCCACATACAAGGAGACATGACTTCTGTTTTTCAGTGACCTAGATTAAAATAATTTCAGTTTATAAATTTGTTTCTAGGGCTTTAGTGGGGCATTTGAAGTGGGGGAGCACTTTGCAGCTTCCTGGAGTTTCCCAGCTCAGTCCAGCAGGCTCCCACCCTCCTCAGCTCATCTTCAACACCTTCACTCTTTAATCTTTTTCTAAAAGCCACATTGTATCATGTTTTTAAGAACAACTGGCTTATTATGATTATTACCGCTGGTTTAACAAGAGAGAAAAGAATGAAAATATGGACTGAGGGGGTATTTGTGTCCTCTGCAGGCCTCTAATAGTTGTGACTCGAAGAATTGCGGTTGACTCCCTCATATGAGCACATTAGCTGATCTCCTCTCAGACCTGCTGAATCCCACAGCTGCCAACAGTGCAGAGCACAGATGTAAATCGGAGGAGCAAATAGATTTTGACATTTAAAAGGGGAATGTGCAGTAGGAATTTACTCGCACATTTGGCAATACAATGTTCCCTTTGAAGAGAGGTTTCTTTCAAAAAGATTCCTCAAGTTGTCTGTATCATGGTGCATTCTTCAAAGTGACAGCGTGGCTGGAGGTTCTCGACGTTTAGGATTGCCTCACCATGTGATCTTAGGTGCACTCTCTCCATCCCTCATTTATCCTACATGCCCTGGCAGGATCCACAGATAACGTCTGCCTAGCCTTCTCGCTTCTTTGAAGACAACCAGTGCATAGAAGATGCCTTATCAGTTATCTAGTTGTTGATACCTAATGAGATGCTCATTAACCGGTTGAACAGCCAGCATGAATTTAGTGACCATCAGTTTAATATGAGGCCAATGAATAGGACTGTGGGGGAGTGGGACAAAGAGAAACAGATCCAATCAGTTATTTATTCTTTATTGAGTGCCTATGTACTAAAGGAGATGCTAGGGATTTTTTAAATGAGTGGCATAGCTTTTTGCCCTGGAGAAACTCAGAGTCACACAAAAGACACAGACTGGCTGAAGTATTGACACTTGCTTGGAAAAACAGATAACCCAGCCTTTTGATAAGAACACTATAGATCAACTTACTAGCCAGTATAAATCCCTACAGTCAAGCTTTATTAAACTGTATTATTATTTATTATTATTAAACTTGATGATTCCCCTTAATAGTGAAACTGTGGTAATTAGAGTGGAGATGTTCACGCATTGGTGGGAACTACGAATAACGCAAGCAAGGCGTAGATGGTGCACTTCCATTGCTGTAATGTTTAGTACGGCCAGTTCCTGCCCTCTTGAGATCATCTCCTCTTTTCAACTTTTGTCTGAGAAACACTTTGTATCATGTTGGTTAAGAACAATTGACTTATACTAAAGATAGACGTAATGATAGGAAGACTTACATTTTGGAAACCAAACCCTATAAAAGGGGGGAAAAAGTGTGTTTTGACAGATGACAAAGAGACATTGTAGATTTTAGAACAGTCTGAGAAAATTATTTTAGAACATCTGTTTCTTTTCATCCTACTGACTATCCCAAAAATTATCTAGACAGTGACAACTCATCAGTAGGTTGTATTCTGAGGCCTCCTTGCAAGTCCATTATTCTGGATTTGGCACATCCTCAGACAAATGGTCTAGTTTCCAAAACAGTCCACAGAAATTTAGGTAACTTGTAATACGAGTTATTTATGTGGATATAGTATTTTGCAAACTGTATCAGCCACTATATTCATGGATCTAGGAGTTCTGCAATAATTTTTGAATCTTGTGTTTTCATCTTGATGACCATCTAAAAATTATCATAATCATGTTCTGGGTCATCTAAATCAACACCCCATTATGTGATTCTCAAAACTGTGCTTATGTTTATCTTTGTGTTAGTCTTGTGTCATCAACCAGTTTAACAATATTAGAGGTCTACTATAGATTTAGATTAAAGCTAGCTGCCGTTTGGTTGGATTGCCTTGGAAAGTTTCTCATAAAAATCTAGATTTCTGGCTTCTTTCTTTTTCCTCTTTCTCTCTCTCTCTTTCTTTCTCCCTCTCTTTCTCCTTCTCTCTCTCTGTCAGAAAACATGGCAACTATGGGTCTGCCACAATCTGTGGCAATAATAAAACCGAGCAGGCTGCTGAGTGGCTGCTTCCCACACAGGTCCTGCTTCTCTCGTGTATGTTTTCTGCCTGTATCTTATAAGCATTAGAGTTTGTGTCTCCCCATCTAAAGGAATGTTGCGTGTTCTCCAGGATGCAGTAGCAAGCATTCTAGGAAAAGGGGTTTCTTCCCTCTCCATATGTTGTTTATTTATTTATTTATTTATTTATTTTTAAAGATTTTATTTATTTGTTTGACAGAGAGAGACACAGTGACAGAGGGAACACAAACAGGGGGAGAGGGAGAGGGAGAAGCAGGCTTCCCGCCGAGCAGGGAGCCCGATGCAGGGCTCGATCCCAGGATCCCGGGATCATGACCCGAGCCGAAGGCAGACGCCCAACAACTGAGCCACCCAGGCGCCCCTCCGTATGTTGTTTATAAAACACATATTTGTGCGTAGGGGTTTCTGCTGCATGGGGCTCCTCTCCAGTGCCCATTACACTCTTTTCTCTCTGTAATCAGGGTTTGGTATATAGCTTGAAATAGAAACTAACCTTTAGGAACTAATTTTTAAATTACTGTCTTCATAGACCTGGAGGCTTGCTGAGTTGGAAGGAATTTTAGTGCCCCCCCACCGTCCCTCCCCCTCCAGTTCCCAACCTTCCATCTGTGTGCTTCCTTCCCTAGTATTACTTGCTATTCATTTTTATTTCATTAATATTTAAAGAGCATTGTGGTTATTCACCGAAAAGGGCAACACTTACCACCAACCATGCAAAGGTGAACTCAGATGAAATTTCTGAGGAGATATTTTGAACGCATGGTATTTCCACAGTCTGATTTATCTGTACTTCTATTATATTGCTGCTTCTCCATTCATTCTGTGTAACTATAACGAAATATAGGTGGAAGAGACAGGAATATGTGATTGGTTTATAAAATGCTTTTTGTGACAGAAACAGGAACAGTGTTAGTGTAGATATTCATCTGCCCTCAGGGCTCACCTATGACAAGGCAAAACCCCACTAACAGCCCTCATTGTATAAAAGGCAAAACGGAACTACTGAGAATCAGAGAGACTTGCTTACCACTGAAAAATTACAGGGAAGCTGCCCCAAAGAATCTACCTCACAATTTGGTATGTTCCTCTGCTTTAACCCCAAAATAATGCTTTAGGCTTCAGATATTTTTTTGATCAGTTAGAATATAAAGCTTTATAACCTAGCCTCGGTTTAAAGTTTTTTTTTAGAGACGTTTTAGGTTCATAGCAAAACTGAATGGAAAGTAGAAAAAGTTCCCATATATCCCTTGTCCCCTATGCATGCCCAACCTCCCCAACTACTAACATCCCTAACCACAGCCGTACATTTGTTACAACTGATAAAACTACCATGACACATTGACATCATTATCACTTCAAGTCCATAGCTTATTTACATTAGAGTTCACTATTGGTACTGTACATTCTATGGGTTTTGAGGGATGTATAATGACATGTATTCACCATTGTAATATCATACAGAAGAGTTCCACTGCCCTAAAAATCCTCTGTACTGGAATCCTCCCTCCCTCCTGCCAAACTGACATTCGCTGATCTTTTTACTGCCTTACTGTCCTTATGAGTTGTCTTTTTGAGCTTACAAATATTCCTCCAAAGATGGAATGATATAGAAAAATATATAAGGAAACTCTGAAGAAGGCATTGTTAATGGATTATTTTCATTTTCATCTATTTATTTTTCATTTTAAAAGGAATATGACGTAAATATCAGTTTCATAGCCTCTCTTTGGGAAAGTCATAGACATACACATACCCATTTGTGACTAAACTATAATAACATCCAAGAATAATTTTTTTTTTAAAGATTTTATTTATTTATTTGACAGAGACAGAGACAGCGAGAGCAGGAACACAAGCAGGGGGAGTGGGAGAGGGAGAAGCAGGCCTCCCGCCGAGCAGGGAGCCCGATGTGGGACTTGATCCCAGGACCCTGGGATCATGACCTGAGCCGAAGGCAGTCGCTTAACCAACTGAGCCACCCAGGCGCCCAACATCCAAGAATAATTTATAAATGATTTCTATCATCCTAATATCCCAAAATCTGATTTTCTTTTTTCCATGTCTACATAAATCTTGTTTGTATGCATACGTTTTCTCATACGCTGCAATCCTTTTAACCAACAAATGTTACCCGTATTCTTACTTAAAATGTTTTGCATGATTCTTAAGCTATTGGTGGTTGAAATTTTCAGAAACTTTATGTCATGCTATCATATATACATATCGTCATCGATTTTGTCATTTCCAGTTACTGAATTGTGTGTTCTTTCAATTTGGGTTTTTAGTTTATATAAACTACTATAACCAATAAAGCAAGGATCCTCCTTATACTAAGAGCTTTCTTCTGACCATTCAGCTACTTAAATTCCGTGAATTTAATGGGTATGAGTATTCTCATTATTATCAATGGCATATATTTTTAAGTGGAATATTTCTCAGTTTGGAATATTATAGCTAGCCTTTAGGACTTTGTTATACTCCAACCTCTCAGCAATAGAAGCTACCCTGTTTACTGATAATTCATTCCTCCTCCCTTCCTTACCTGAAACCAGGCCTCTCCATTAGGGCATATCTTCCTTGCATCATTCTCAAATAGTGGCCATTTATTTTTTTGTGCCCTTATTTCCTCAAAATTAGGAGGTGGGATCAGTGCCTTCCTTGCTCCTCATTACTGTTTCCAAATGTTATTCCAACCCCATAATTAAAAAAAAAAAAAAGCCCTGCCATTTATGGTTAAGAGAATTTAGCTATAATAGTAATTCCAAATGATTTATTTGTATACTACCACCAAAATTGTTTGCCAGGACTGCTTACCACCATTACCACTATTTAATTTTATTCTTGATATTATTTTAATTTTTTTTTTATAATTGTTTTACTTACATAAGTTTATTTTCAACAGAGAATGATCTAGGCACTAATATTTGGGAAGTGCATGAAATCCACTTGATATGTTAATTATATTTTAATGTACATTACCCAAATATATAAGTATTAAATTTTTGTAAAGTTGATCCAGATTCTGGGAAGTTTGGAATGCAACCGACCTAACTTTTTTAATATTCCTGAAACTCCCTACAAAAACAGACAAAGTAACTAGAGTAGCAGACCTAAAAACATATAGGCAATATGTATAGGAACACTAATTAACAATATATCCCCATTAATAGATGGGGACAAATAACTGGACCACTGTGGTATCAGCAACTGAGCAGAAAGAAAGAGAGGAAAATCGACTGAGCTTCGGATGCCCCTCAGAACTAGAGAACTCCGCCCCCCACCCCTCCCCAGCCCAAAGCAACAGGTAATCACTGCAAAGACATGCAAACTAATCTGAGAATAGCAGCAGAAATGGAGAAAGGAGTTTGCAGGCACCAGATTACCAGTGCCCTCAAGGGAAACAAGAGGAGGCTTGTCAGTGCTGGAATAAAGGGTGCTTTTCAGACAGATCCCATACTGAGAAGAAACCCCTGGGAGTCGAATCCAAATTAAACAGGATAGGTCCAATAGGAGAAAGCAAACAGGCAATTTAGATAAAAGTGAGGGATAGGAGGGAAGGAAGTATATCTCAGAAAGTACAATGGCATATTATTTACCTTGAAAATAACAGAAGAGACTGCTCCAGAGACACTGAACACTTTATAAAAGCTAGCCTGGCCCACCCTTCCATGGCAAAAATCAACATGCATTTACCTTAAGTGTGAGCAATAGAAAAGGAATGGGGTAGAATCACACATAAAGATACTATAAGAAAAAAGAGAAAAGGGAACAAAAGAACATCCCCTCAACAATGGCAACACATTAGAAAAAGATAATTTCACAATAAAAACTGTAGCCTAATAACTCAAAATTAGGTAAAAGAAATAAGGAAAATGATATGAGCTGCAAAAAATTTTAGCAAGATTGGTAAATGAGTCAACTGGAAAAAAGGAAGCTCAGCAGAGACAGGTGAGAGAATTCAGGAAAGGGTTGGAAATAACAACTCATTGTAGAAATTAAGAGCAAACTAGAAGAAAAACACAGAACATTTGGCCCAAAAGTTAATGCACTAAAAGAAATTTTAAAATCCAATAAAGGGAAATTTTAAAATAAATTAAGAAATAATAAATTTTAAAATAAAAAGTATCACTTTCAAAGAAAGTGATAAGCAAAGAAGATTAAAAGCATGTATAATAGAAGGCACCAAAGGAAATAAGCAGTAGACAGAAAAAAATACTAAAAATTATAATACAATTTTTAAAGTAAAAAATGATTAGAAAATACATATTGAAAGATTATACTGAAAAAGTAGGAAAATAGGCTCAGAATAGATATTAAGCAAATTATTATAATGGTATTTTTTAAAAGTCAGTTATAGGAAAGAAAATAGGATTATTATTAGCTTTTTGACAGCAACTCTTTATGCCAGAAAATAATGTAGCAACATATTTAATGTACTCAAGGAAAGAAAATGTGAGCTAAGGATTTTATATTCAGCAAAATAAGCCTTTTGAGATGAAGACTACATAAAACCTGTTAGAGCCATGTATAAGAAGTCAGGGAATATTGCTCTCATGAGCACTTCCTGAGGATTCGCCAATCGAATACACTTCAGACTGGAGAGGCATTTATATAAAGCCTGTGGTGAGTGTTGAATCTATGTTTGCCTTTAGCACTAAAAATAAATCATTGCTATAAGAAAGAGAGTAGTAATAAATATATATTTTGAAATAAAGAGAAAATATAAGGATCACAAATGAGGCAGGGAGAGGGTTGAGGTGCTTGTGGCTAGGGGCCATGAAAAGGTCAGTGAAAAAAGCCATGTATAAAACTGAGCAAATGTATAAAAACCATCATTTCAAGACCAAAGGCAAACATGTAATTGAGAAACATCTCTTCTTGGAAAAATGCTAGAACTTCAGTAAGAATAGCAGGAGTCTATATTCCTCTTGCCTAGGAATCCTTCCATTCCCCTTCCCCAGTGTTGTTAGTGAGACAGGTAGCTTTACCATCTTGGAGCTGGCTGCAAGAAACAGCAGCTTTTCTTCTGGAAGAGGCAGACTTAAATTAGGTCTGAGTATGAAGATCCTTCACTTTGTTAGCTAACAGGCACAAACTCGGTAGGAAACAGAGAAAAACTGAAGCTTTAGCATGGGTTTGCAAATCCCATTTAGGGTGAGTAGCAGAGCAGATAGACATTTAACACGGAGATTCTGGAAATTAGAGAGTCACGGAATAGCTGAGATAAGTTGTCTACCCACCCCAGGCTGACTGGAAAAATACACAGGTGAGTGCAGAGACCTCAGAGAGCTTATTGAAAAGCAAAAGCCAAGGGAGACTGTGTTATGGTCTGCAACTTTGCACCCTCTAACTACCGCCCCCCCCAACCCAACGCAGATATGGAAGCCTAACTAACAGGCTTGAGGAATTTGAGTACAACTTTTGTCAAATTCATTGGTGGACAAACAAAGGGGCTTTGCCAATGCAGGGGCAATTCCTTGGAAACTAAAGACATAATAATTATAATAAAAAGTTGAGCAGAAAAATCAATATCCACATACTGAAGAGGAAACAGATTTTATAATTTAGATATGGGTAGTTACCAAAATTAAAAAAAAAAAAGAAAAAACCCCACTGATCTATAATTGTCACATTATTATTATTATTTTTATGTCTAGTTTTCAACAACAACAACAAAAAAGGTTATACATGAAGAAAAAAGGAAAGTGTGATCCATACTCAGGAAAAAAAGCAGTTAGTTGAAACTGATTCTGATTGGGTCCTACATTGGATTTAACAGATATTAAAGCAGCTCTTATAAGTATGTTCATGGGATTAAAACAAAAGAT